CGCTCAACTTCATCAACGTGGCGAGCCTTGCACGTGAGAGGCACAGTGGAGGTGGAGTTCAAAGAAGAATGAGAAATTTAATGGTTTCAATCTGCCCTTGTTTTTTCTTTTTCTTTTTCTTTTTCTTTTTATTTTTGCATATTATCACTGTGCCCGTTTTTTGCTTTTATTCTTTGTTCCGCAAAGTGCGCTCTTTTAGTTTGTAGTGATGTGACAATATATATATATATATATATATATATATATATATATTTTAAGTCGGATTTTTTTGTGGGGTAGTGGCGGGGGGGGACGAATCGGGGACACTCTGCACCGGACACAAGACCTGGACATCCAGACCCAGACTGTCTGCACTGCGGTCCGGATGTCCGGATCGTAACCATGGAAAATACTCACATGCCTGGCTGAGAGGCCAAGCTACAATGTCAGGCTCTAGGCCTGTATAAAAAAAGGATGCAGGCATGCTGCACACACCCACACCTACACACCCACCCCATGCACACCCGCACACACACCCCGACACACACCCCGACACACACCCCGACACACACCCTGACACACACTCCCATGCACAGACACATACCACACACACCCCACACCCACACCCCACACACCCACACACCCACACACCCACATACCCACACACCCAGACACCCAGACACCTACACACCCACACACCCACACACCCACCCATGCACACCCACACCCCCCCCCACACCTGGGCATACACCCCATCCACACACACACAAAGTAGCACTTGGGATTTGGCAGTTGAAGTTGAAACAATCATTTGACGAACTTGAGCGCTTTGCAAATTGTAAAAATTGCATTTCTCTTTTGCTCTTGCTCCCAACCCATACATGGTGGCCCAATTATTGATCAGTGATGATGATTTCACAATGAACTCCAAATCTACTGACCTGAATTTCAAAATCACAAGTCATCTCTTCGTTGATAGTGGGATAGTTACTATACACTGTAGTACTATACAGTGATGAATAAAAACTATTAAAAAGGGAGTTACAATGCCAAATCATCCCCAAATCATAACAAGATTACAAGACCGAAAAATAGGAGCTGCTTCTTTTCTGTCTGGTTCTCAGTGGATGTCATGTACTGCCATAATAGAAGCCCAGTGGGGAGACTAGGGCGGCACCTCCGACAAACTCGTCGGTTGCGATATCATAAGATTCATAACTTAGTATGGACAATCGCACCTGTGAGGTGAGTCTCCAAATCAATGGTGGATGCTCGGGGCGGCACCTCCAACAAGTTTGTCGGTTGCAATATCATAGCTTGGTATGGACACTTGCGCCTCTGAGGTGAGACTCCCAATGAATGGTGGATGGCTGGGGCGACAACTCCGACAAACTCCTTGGTCGCAATATCATAACTTAGTATGGACAATTGCACCTGTGAGGTGAGGCTCCCAATGGATGGTGGATGGTCGGGCACCGAGATGTGGCAATTGTGGAACAGAAAGGAATGGTTATGACCACCTGGTGTGTGATGACCATTCTTTTTATGCCGCTCTTCTAATCAGACAATGTGACTTCAAGAATTGCCGATTTTGGGTTTTTCCCAGGAGGCCCCGTTGCAGTGCGCTTGAGATCTTCCAGAGCAAAGGTTATCTGCACACAACATTCAGAAAAGAACAAGTGAAGTAATAAGCTCTAGTTTGAATTTTGGTGCGTACAGTTTGGCCAGAGAGTGAGGTTAAAAATAGTGGAAAAATAGTAAATACCACACGATCATACGGCATCTGTTTGGTGCGTGTCAGAACCACTCGTTCAATCCTCTTAAAATAGCATTAATCCTAAAGTTAGGGTGTACTCACACTAGCACTTTTCAGAATGCACCTGACTGCAATTACGGCGAGACTAGGATGGACCTGACTGCAATCACGTCCACAGCGTTGCGGGGAAGGTCCTCGTGTGAGTATGCCCTTAGTTCCACTAAAGGCTCCCACGGGCCGGCTTTTATCGGGTTTCTTATCAGCTCCTCCTCCAGGCTCTCCCACTTTCGTGGCCGTCGATCACCTGACACGGCAATGACGTAGGTTCGAATCCTGCCAAATGGGAAGTGTTAAGTGTCTGAGGAGAAGTCCTTCGAAACATCTGCTAAGATTGGAGCGATGCAGAGAAGATAAGCATGGGCCCTGCGCAAGGATGACACACATAAATTGAAATATGGTCCAAAAAAATAAAAATAAAATAAAAACTTAAGTCTCGAGGAAAAGAGATTTTTTTTGCATTGACAAAAACTGAAAAAGGGTGCACCACAACGGGGTTTATGACCGTTTATCAGCCACAAGGCTTTCTCTACTTGTCTACTTGAGCAGGAGCTGTCCGTACGTCCATGCAACCTGACGGTCACACCTACTATGAAAGACCACACAACGAGAGAGAGGTGAGGTTCCTTCAAGAATAACTCAGCAACACTGTGCAAAAAAGCAGACCTGTGCAGTGAATCCAGCGATTATGACTGAGGATGAAAAAGGGGAGAGCAACACAAAGATAGGTTGCAGGAAAATGCACTAGTGCCCAGCCTCACTTACTAGTTTGTCCCAGTTGCCTCCTTCAAACAACACCCCTGCCTTCCCATCTGTTATGCGCTGGACAATACCAGAGTACTGTTGGGCCCCCACCCCGCCCACCCCACCAAACCAACCACACACACACACACACACACACACACACACACACACACACACGCACACACGCACACACACAACACACCACACACACACACACACACACACACACACACACACACACACACACACATACACACAATCCCGTGAGACACAGAAAAAGCAGACGTAAGCAGAATTCTGGGTAAAGCTTCACAACGAGCAGCATCACATGGAGTGTGCATTCTCAAGAAAAGTGTTTCCAAAAGGTTGCCTCCCCAAATATCTACACCCATAAGTATTCCATTACACCTCACATAGTTTAACCAATTTGAATCATTGAACACAAAATCCCAGCTTACAAGCAAATGCAGCCAAGAAAGTGAGTGCCAAACACTCGTGAAGGGAAGCAAAGATGTGACGCTCAACCTCACGCCCTGCGCTGCTTCCCGGTCGGAGTGTTTTGGCATGCCGAAGGTGGCACGGGGAAAGGCAGCAAAGATGGTGTGAGGATTGAGCCCTCAAGTAGGGGCCTTGCCATGATGTACTTGTTCTGGGCTAAGGCCCCAGCAAGCCTAGTGCCCGCCCTAAGTGAAGGCGGGCCAGCAAATCAACAAGAGCCCTCTGTGCCAACATTTCACGAAGTGGGGTCTATACAGTTGCAGCACGCCAGTTGGTTGGAGTGCACCGAGTCTCGGATTTCAGCAAATGCTGAAATGCCCAGGGCCTCTGAGTTAGTTAGGCCCTGGGCACTCGAACGTGAGGCCGACAATGCATGCTGGGTAGAGAGGCCGAAAATGCCAAAGGGAATCGGCCCACTGTCTCGCAGGCCTTGATTCAGACAGTGGGCCGATTTCCCTTTGGCATTTTCGGCCTCTCTACCCAGCATGCATTGTCGGCCTCACGTTCGAGTGCCCAGGGCCTAACTAACTCAGAGGCCCTGGGCATTTCAGCATTTGCTGAAATCCGAGACTCGGTGCACTTCAACCAACTGGCGTGCTGCAACTGTGTAGACCCCACTTCGTGAAATGTTGGCACAGAGGGCTCTTGTTGATTTGCTGGCCCGCCTTCACTTAGGGCGGGCACTAGGCTTGCTGGGGCCTTAGCCCAGAACAAGTACATCATGGCAAGGCCCCTACTTGAGGGCTCAATCCTCACATTCCATCCCCCTTAGCTTCGAAAGTCTGCTGAGATGCTTACTTCGCAGGTGCCTTCCCTTTTAGTTTCCGTTCATAATCTCCCACCACCTGAGGAGATGTTTCCATCAGTTCCTCCCGGGTAAACCACCGATCTTCTTTAGGATCCGTATGATGCCTGAATCTGATCCGGTACTCTCTCTTGGGTTTAGGAGGTCTTCCTCGACCCAGAGGCTTCAGAACAGGCATATCCCTGTGATCCACAATGTCGTCGATGTCGACTTGTCCATCCATGGTTGGGGGCAGCATCGATCTCCTGGAAGGGAATTGATCAGTCTCAGCGAAAGGTGCAAGCTTTGAGGCATGAAAGACTGGGTGAGTGCGTAGATGACCAGGGACACGAATGATGTACGTAGGACCATCCATTTCATCTCCCACTACATCCAAGACTTCCCAGGGACCAAAGTACTGGGGCATTAGTTTGCGAGATATTCCGAATTCCTGTCCTAACTCACTAGCCTTGACCTAGACACGTTCCCCTACCTGAAATGTGGACTGCCTGCGATGTTGATTCTCAGAAGCAATCATGGCTTGCTGAGCCTTCTTCATATGTTCAACAGCCTCTTGCAGCAACTTCCCATATTGCACACCGTATTCAAGTGTGCCTGGAGTTGCAGCAGGTCGGTTTTCAGGTAGGAGGAAGTCTAATGCTGATCTAGGCTTCCATCCTAAGTGCAGCTGGTTAGGACTAACTTCGGTACTGCTATGTATAGCATTGTTGTACAGGCTGGCGATGAGAGGTAACTGCTCATCCCAGTCATTCTGGCTGGGCTTGATGTAATGCCTCAGCAAGTGCTGTACAACTCTATTCATTTGTTCGGCTTGTCCGTTGGCTTCGGGATGATTCCCTGAAGTCATTTGAAGTTAACTGCCCATCTGTTCCGCAGTCTTCTTCCACAACTCACTTGTAAATCGGACGTCTCGGTCACTAATGATGGTCTTTGGTAAACCAAAGTCCCTTACCCAGTTGTCCTTGAACAACTTGATGACGTATTCTTTCCTGGCTGTCTCTGGCATTGGTATTAGTCTAGCGTACTTCGTGAATCGGTCAATGATGACGAAGATGTGCCTCTTACCACTCTTGCTGGTCATAAGAGTGTCCATGAAATCCATGGAAACACTCAATCCTGGACCATCAGGAATAGGTAACGGCCTCAATAACCCAAGTGGTGCTTGAGTTCGCGGCTTGTCCCGCTGACAGACCTGACATGTCTCAACATACTTCTTCGCGTCATCTAACATTCTGGGCCACCAAAATCGCTGTACTAAGTTAGCACTTGTCTTCTTGTAGCCAAAGTGCCCACTTGCGTCATGACATTCTCCTAAAAATAAACTACGCAACTGTTTTCACTAGATGGAACTACCAATCTCTTTACTCCGGCCTTATCAAGATAGATTAGCCTATCCACCATCACAAACTCACTTTCTGTGGCCTTGTCTTTTGCCTGAAGTTTGCGGATGATGTCCATCGTGACAGGGTCTTCCTGATAGGCTCCCACCAATGATTGAGTTACTTCATTAGATACGCCAAATTCATAAACTAGCGCACCTAGGTAGTCTGCTCTACGGGATAGCGCATCCGCAACCTTGTTATACTCTCCCTTCAAGTACTCAAGCTTGAAGTCATATTGGTCTATGACCTCAATCCATCGCTTGAGTGCATCAGAAAGAGCCGGTTGAGTCTTGATCCATTTGAGGGTCTGATGATCAGTCCTCAGATAGAAACCTTCCCAAAAGGAAGTGTCTCCAATGGACAAGTGCCTTGTAGAGAGCATAGAGTTCCCTTTCGTAGGTGGACTTAGCTAACTTCTTCGATGGCATCTTCTTACTCATGTACTCAATCGGTCTCAATTTTTTCCCATCCTGCTGAGCCAGCACTGCACCAATGTCGTATTGGCTTGCGTCAGTGGTCACTATGAATGGCTTTTGCGGATCGGGAACCATGAGAACTTCATGATTCATGCGTGCATGCTTCCATCTCTTGAAAGCACTCTCGCACTCATCACTCCAGTCCCACGGTGTGTCAAGTCGAGTTATATCAGTCAAAGGAGAGGCGACTGTAGAATAGTTTTTGACGAAGTTCCTATAGTAGCCGCACATTCCTAAGAATGATCTGACCTCAGTGACTGTCTGAGGTCGTGGCCAGTCTCGAATACTAGCCACCTTCGCATCTTCCGGCCTAATTCCCTCCGCGGATACTTCATGACCCAAGTATAGTACCTTAGTGCGGCCAAACTCGCACTTCTCTAAGTTGACCTTATACTTGTGTTGTCGCAGGAGTGAGAGAACTGTCTCAACATGCTGTGCGTGCTCCGCGGCAGACTTACTAAAGATCAGAATGTCGTCTAAGTAGACCACGACAAACTTATCTAAATGGTCATGGAAGATCCGATTCATAGAGTGTTGGAACGTATCCGACGCATTACAAAGACCGAAAGGCATCACTACAAACTCATACAGACCATATCTAGTCTGAAAAGCTGTCTTGTGTTGGTCCTCAGGTCTTATTGCGATCTGGTGATATCCGGATTTCAAGTCTATCTTTGTATAGTACTTGCATCCCTGCACCCTATCCAATAGGTCGTCTATGCGAGGTAGAGGCTCTGCGTTTTTCACCGTGATGGCATTGAGGCCCCTATAATCAATGCACATCCTTAAAGTACCCCCCTTCTTCAGTACGAATAGCACAGGTGATCCGTAAGGGGAAGTACTAGGCCGAATCCATCCCTTCTCTGTCAGCTCCTTGAGTTGCTTCCGAAGTTCATCTAACTCGGCAGGGGCCATCCTATAGATCCTTCCCTTTGGGGTCTTACTCCCTAGAATGATTTCTATAGCGTGGACGACTTCCCTATCAACAACTCCCGAGGGCTCCTCGAACAGATCGGGGAACTTAGCAACGACACTTTCTATCTCTGGGGGTGTTTTAACGGCCTCCCCCTTCTCAGAGACATAAACGAGGTACATACCTTCCTCTTGGTTTTGCTTATAGTAGTTATAGAACGCTGATGCACACAAGCAGCCATAGGTATCTACAATACTGCTGGCCTTGAACTTAGTCAATCTGACAGTTCGGCCATCGGGCAACTTATGCTTRAGCACCTTCTTATCCCAGTCGAACTGGGGCTTAGCAACTTCGAGGTAGTACATGCCTAACAACATTTCGAATGGCAAGTCGTCGCTAACCAAGAACGAGATCTTATGGTTAAGCTCTC